GAGAAGGAGATGAGCCTGGATTCACCCTATTTTACATCTTTCAGTTTCCAGCTAGTGTCTGTGACTGGTCAGAGTCAGCAAGAAGCCTAGGAAACTGAGCCTACAAGGCTAATTCCCTAACTCTCCCATGATAGACAGCAGAGCAGGGAAGGTCTAGAGTGAATTCGAGAGCAATCAGATCAGGGACCAGCACAGAGATAGTAAACAAATGAATACACAAGTAGAACAGTATCCCATAACAAATACTATAGAGAAATAATATCAAAGATAGAGTGAGAAATGTCTAAAGGGGTCAGAAAAGACTTTCTAGCTCTTTCCAGATCTTGGCTAGAGGAAACTAATGAACAGAATAAACTGACAAACAAAATAGAAACAGGCATGGATGCATGGAACAGACGGACAGCTATCAGAGGGGATGGGGAAGGATGCCTGGATGAAAGAAGGTGAAAGGATTAGCCAAAGAACCTATGTGCATAACCAACCCATGGGCACAGACAACAGTGTGGTGATGGCCACAGGGAAAGGGGTAGAGGTGGGGACTGGGTGGAGGTGGGCAAAGGAGGGGAAAATGTGGTCGTCTGTATAGTGTCAACAATAAAAAAATAATATATCCCAAGAAAACAGAACCACCAATCAGAAAGGATATATGCATCCCTATGTCCACAGCAGTACAATTCACCATAGCTAAGATCTGGAAACAGCCTAAGTGCCCATCAGCAGATGAATGGATTAGAAAACTGTGGCACATCTACACGATGGAATACTACACTGCTGTAAAAAAAGAAGGATTCTTACCATTTGCATCAGCATGTAAAAATAAAGTTAATAAAAAAAATGACTTGTTAGGGAGGTTGGTTGCATTTAATCTGACATCTTAATAAAAAAGAGACATTACTGGAATAGGCATCTGCCAGAGGGCCCCCAAGTATGAATAAGCTAGATATGTTTCAAAAACTAAAAAGAGGCCGGGATGGCTGGATCAGAGTGGGATATGAGGAGAATAATCCAAAACGGGCTCAGTGAGAGAAAAACAGAGCAGGTTCTATAAGGACTACTTTTAAGAGTATCAATTTTATCCCAAGTCCAAAGGGGACGTTATTGGAGGATTTTAAGCAGAGAATGATGATCAGATCTGTGTTTTGAAAAAAATCACTCTTTTATCTCTAGTGAATGCATCATAGATAACAAGAGTAGTAGACAGATAATTTAGTGCTGTTTTAATGGTTCAAGGGCGATGATAGTGGCTTAAATTAGGAAGGTTTTTCACTTTGTTTTTATTTATCTTTATTGTTGAGAATATTATATGTCTCCCATTTTTGTCCCATTCCGTTGTCCCCTCCACCTTGCTCCCACCCCACCACAGGCCTTCATCACACTATTGTCTGTGCCCATGGGTTATGCATATCTATATATTCGTATAAAAGCCTAAGCGACCATTCGACTGTAGCTCTAACGCACACTGACCACCAACAGGCAGATGCTCAGTGTAATGGCATGGAAATATGGAACAGACTGATGAATCTCAAAGAGATGGGAGTAAGGGAGAGGGTGGTAAGAGATTAACCAGAGATCTTATATGCATACTAGAGGCCCAGTGCATAGATTCATGCACTGGTGGGGTCCCTCAGCCTGGCCTGCAGGGATCGGGCTGAAACTAGCAGTTCCTTCTCTTGCTCCACTCACTATTATTTTCTTGCCACTCATAAGCATGATTTGATTGCTCCTTGTATTCTATCAAATAATCAAATAGCATAGATTTTTGGGACTATGTCATAGATTCTCCTATCATTCTACATGATCTAATTAATGGAATCAACTCATGTTGATTTAATATTCTTTACAATATCTAATGCTGATGATTCCCTACAATCTCTGGATATCAATTATGTTCAACTACAAACTTAATACTCCCACTTGTTTATAATATCAAAACAGAACTCTTGAGTTTTCTCCTCAAACCTCTGGATTTTCATTTGAACAATCTTTAAGCTGAAAAAAAAAAGGTATCTCCATTATTTTTTGTTTTTCTTACTTTCTACATCAAATTATCATTGAATACCTAGAATTTTAACTTCAAAATATATCTTAAATCTGTTTAGTTTGCTGACATCACCACTGGAGTCCAAGTCTCCACCATCTTACACCCAGACTCCTTCAGTATCCTTTTAACTAAAACTTCTCTTTCCTTGAATCCATCTATCTAAAATACAAAGCATGACCAACTGAAAATATAAGCTGCGCTAGGCCACCCTCTTACAACTCTTTATAAGTCCCATTATAGGTAGGTGCCCTAAATGACTGAAGTAGCCTAGGGGTGACCATGGTGAAGCAGAAAGAGCTTTCTCAGCCCAAAGAGAGCAGCTGTTCACTGGCTGTACCAGATGTTAACATGTACATACAGCTGTTTCAGTTGCTAAGTCTAACAGGTAGTGCAAAAACTGTGTGTGTGTGTATGTGTGTGTGAGAGAGAGAGAGAGAGAGAGAGAGTGTGTGTGTGTGTGTGTGTGTGTGTGAGAGAGAGAGAGAGAGAGAGAGAGAGAGAGAACTCTGTTGATTTTTAAATATTAGCTCCCACATTATAAAAGCACTGTTTAAAAAATCTTCAATTCATATTAGGCTGAATGGCTGCCAATTAGCTTCCTCTGCAAAAGAGATCCGGTTTCCCGCTTATCTCCTCCACTTCATTCGATGCTTTTAGACTCTCTGATCTTTACTTTCCTGGAACAGCTAATCAAGCTCTTCCTCACTCTGAGAATCCCCCTTCCTTGTCTGGCGAAGACCAGGGAAGGGGGGGTGAGCCTGGGTAGAGGTGGGCAAAGGTGGGGAAAATGAAGGACATCTGTAATAGTGTCAACACCAGTAAATATGAGAGTGGGACCTTCTTAAATTGGGTGGGCTCCCACCATGACAGTTTTATTCTCTCTCTCTCTCATAGAACACAGTTTTAATTTATTTTTTACTTTATAGTACTTATAAATTTGTGATTACATCTACATGTGTTCATTTTTTCTTATTTCCTGCCTTTAAATTATAAGAAATATGGAAGGCATGTATTATGTCTATTTTATCAGTTTCTAGTACAAGGCCAGGTACATAATGGACACACAATAGATAAAGAAATAAAGAATATTTTTTTTCTGAATTTCTCTTCCTATCTTTACCAGATTCTAGTAATCCTTTAGAACCAGTTCAATGTTAGCATTTTGTGACCCTCATCTCTTAGTCTCCAAAACACCATACCTTGTCTGTGCTTCTATAACATTTCATACATCCTTGTTTTAAATATACATATATATATGTTTTTTTAATTTCAGAAAGGAAGGGAGAGGGAGAGGTAGAAACATCAATGATGAGAGAGAACCATAAATTGGCTGCTTCTCACATGTCCCTCACTGGGGATCAAGCCCTCAACCTGGGCATCTACCCTGACCGGGAATCAAACCATGACTTCCTGATTCATACATAGGTTGATGCTCAACCACTGAGCCATGCTGGCCAGGCACATTCTTAAATGATGATGACCATATTCTAATGTAATCCTGTGTGGGATTCTTGATGCCTAATATCTATGGTGGTGCTTGAAACATAATTGAAAGATGATCTTAAGACTTGAAATCCACTATACTTAATGGTTTATAACTCACTGTATTGCCTTTAAAATAAACTGATTTCCAATAAACCATATATCTTGGCAAATAGTGGGGCTAAGTAAATATTAGCATTAATAAAAGTCATTTTATAGCATACTATAATAGAAGCTAGCATTGAGTGCTTGTTTTAAGATCTATGATTTCTACCACGCATAACTTATCTCCTGTAATCCTCCCCTCAAGGATATGAGAAAATAAACTCTTAAAGAAGACAAGATAGTTTATGGTGAAGATGGGATTTGAATGAAGTTTGCCTTCAAAATATAATGTAATGTAGTAACTAAAAGGTTTTAGATTCAGGAAGTAATGAGTTCAAATCTCAGTTCCGTCAAGTTATTAGCTGGGTAAACAGATTGTTAATTTTCTCACTTGTAAGGAGGGGCTTAATAAATATATGCTGGGAATTTTTAATAAATAAAGAATGCATGTAAATGCTTACCATTTTGTAGTCTATAAACTATAAATTTTATTTATCGAAGGTGAGAATTTAATTGATTTTAGTAAGTCACTTAGTATCATTTAGTATTTGAACAGATTTTTAAAACATTTTTATTTGTAAAATGCTATAATGAGAGGACAACTGAACATTCAAGATTTTAAAAATATTATTTGTTAGTAATGTAAAATAATGGCTACTATAAATATAACATACATGCTCCAGGTTCTTAGTAACTTAATTTAAAACTAACAAAATTAATATATTTTAAGATGGTGATAAAACATATTCATGTTTACTTCCAAAAAATACATATAAAATGTTTGCAGGAAGGCCAGAGCCGGTTTGGCTCAGTGGATAGAGCGTTGGCCTGCGGACTGGGGGGTCCCAGGTTCGATTCCGGTCAAGGGCATGTACCTGGGTTGCGGGCACATCCCCAGTGGGAGATGTGCAGGAGGCAGCTGATCGATGTTTCTCTCTCATTGATGTTTCTAACTCTCTATCTCTCTCCCTTCCTCTCTGGAAAAAATCAATAAAATATATTTAAAAAAAATGTTTGCAGGAAGGTTTCACAGGCAGTACCTCGTTTCAAACTCATCATCACATGTGGTAGATTTGATTTACATGTTGCATAGAAGGAAATTCAGACAAACAAAAGTGAATAACTTACCCAATATCAAACAACTAATAAGCAGGAGAACTCAGATTCAAACTCACGTCTTTCAAATCCAAATCCCATCATTTCTCTTAGTACATGATGAGAAATTAATCATTTAAACTCCAAAAGTGCTCTTTAAAGTTTTTTTTTCATTTGATACTTTAAAATAATAAAATAGTATTAATAGTAACACATCAACTAAATTTTAATTAAAATAAACTTTAACAAAATAATGAAATAAACAATTTAATATTACCTAAAATCTGATCCAACTCTCTTCCCATTTTCTGGTTCACCTGGATCTGGACATAAATTGGAAGCTGTTTTAATACCTCCCTCATTTACTGTAACACAGAAAAGAGAAAAAAAAAGAATCAAAACCTATGTAATTAGAAAAGTAAAGATATTAATATTTATAGTTACATAAAATACATTCCTGCATTTTGTCATTACAGTTTAAATATCAAAAGTTAAAATATAATTCTATAATGTAGTAACGAATACAAAACCAATTTTTGTATTTATATACCTAAAATAATTAAGTTTGATGGTCATATTCTAAATGACATACTATTATGATATTAATACATCAACAGTTAACAATTTATTTTTATTTACCATTAAATTGTGAAATCTCTGTATATGCATTCCCAGGGCGTCAATAACAGGGTTTCCATTAATTATTTGCAGTAAGGAAGTCATAACCAATTATATCAGTGTAATTTGGATACCTATTATTTCTAAAGGTGCAATAGAAAAATAAGATATTATGAAAAATAAGATATTATGAAAAAAGTTTAAAATTATTAATTTAGGCTACAAATGCCAAAATAAAACTATGGGGCAAATTACTAAGCAAAGCCTAGAATCTGTAATAATAAAAGCGTAATATGTTAATTAGACTGGCCGTCCTTCCGGAGAACCTTCCAGACAAAGCTGGGGCTGCAAGAGCCAAGTGAAGTTGCATTGGCTGTGAGGGCCAAGCCCCTTGCATAAATTTTGTGCATTGGGCCTCTAGTTATAATTCTGAAAAGCAA